ACCATTCCATGATTCTATGATTGCTTTTTCTCTGTGTTCTCACAGGCATTTACACTTAATAGGCGTAACATAATTTTCTACTACTAAAAGATAAAACAGAAAGTCTATTTCAATGAACAGCTTTATCTGTCTGTTAGTAGTTTCTGAACATTATGTATTTGTTTTTCTTCTGTTTCATAGGGTAACTGCTTGATCTGCTTTATATCTTTTGTAATTCACTACCTGCTAAGGTTATCTCTCTTCAAACATTTAAAATATTATTTCAACTTTTTAGAATAAAACTTTGTCACCATACAAAATGGCAAATGAGTGATACCGTCCTTGACAGGGGTTTTAATATGCTTTTAGTAACTGGCCTTAAATGCATGTCATAACAATAGGTTTCTTTTTCAATTTCAAACTTTTTTTAGAAATAGCCTTTGTGCAATTGCATCGACTGATCTTATGCAAATCCTCTGTTATAAAATTCTTCCAACATGTAAATCAGAATCAGATGAAAATGTAAATCAGATAATTTCTAGGAATTTCTATTTGTTTGTGTTTCCGCGACTCATGTCAAAACTCATGGTTTCTAAGAGGCTGTGATCTTAGTTGCACCTAACATTTGGTTCAACATAGGAATAAGGATTGTAAATAAACAATTTCTGTACAATGAAGCATGGCGTGTTTCTCAAAAGCAATTTACTTAATACAATGTGAAAATTACCAAGTTAAACTAATGATCTTTTTCAGAAAACCGGAATTTACATTTTGATTTGGTTTAGAGTACTGGAAGTCTCTCATACTGAATTTGTTTTCAAGTGTGAATCAGATTCTTTCTGCTGTTTGGGAATCTCCTGATTTAATGAAACATCTCCTTGAAGAATTTTCAAGGTTGAAGATACGAAATTCCCTTCAAAATAATACTTTTATCTATGCCTGTAAATCACCCATAACCGAGAAGGAATGAGGGAAATTGCACGCTTCTTTTTACTTTGTTTATGTAGGAGTTTGCCATGTACAGTCAATGTGATTTTGACCAGAGTCACAGAGGGATGTTTACAGAACTCTGAAAAAACATTTTCAAAGTTACAAGAATTAACTGTGTGAAGCTAAACTACTGTCTTCCAAGATTATGTAGACATGGTTAGTGACAACACCAATTTTTGAAAGGGAACAGTGTAACCTGTGTGGTTAATGGATGTGCAGCCTAAGATTTGCAGTTAAGCATCCATTCGTAGCTGAGAATAACATACAGCAATAAGGATTATTTTTTAGATGTATTGGCCTCATTATAAATTTTTTTCAAGTGTAACAAATCTCTCTCAGTACTATAGTAAAAGGCTTGAATAAAATATTTAGTGATTGTTCTTTTTATTTTTTTAGCTATAGATAACTTATTGCATATTTTCAGGTACTCACGTCATGGAAGGCTCTGGACGGATGCTGGTAACTGCTGTGGGGGTGAATTCCCAGACAGGCATCATCTTTACCCTGCTAGGTGCTGGAGGAGAAGAAGAAGAGAAGAAAGATAAGAAAGGTAAATTTCACAATATGTAAGGATATGCCAAAGAAAGCTCTTGGGCTTTGTGTAGCCCGAGCTCTCCTCCATTCTTGACAAATAAATACGATTTTAAAAACTTCCATTTTCGTATACATTTTTGTCATTACATGTCACACAGAAAAACAGCAAAAGCTGTTAACCAATAAATGCATTGGATAACAAGGTGTTTTTCCAGTGTGAAACCGCAGACTCTCAGTTGATAATTAAATGCAAGGGAGTACATGGGCATACTCCCTTTGCCGTGTTTTCTTTACATAAATCCATACTCACCCAAAATTTGCTAAGGTTTTGCTCTTGTGCATTTACATCTATGTAATAAATTTTTCAGGGAAAAAAATAGGAGTTGGCCATGGCAGTAGCATCTGTCTTTGAGCTTCAGAAATAAAGATAAGATGTGCCTTTTTGCTAGCCTGGTTGTTTAATGTCATTGACTGACTTTAGAGGCATTTCCATTTCTTATGATGTAAAGGTCAATCTAAGAATAGTAAAAGACAAGAAAGTAGCAGTAAATGTTGAGAGAGTTTAACTTTTATGTCCTGTATCAGTTAATGAAATCAAGAAGTCTGTTTAGACTTTTCACCTTACAGTGTGATGTCATATGTAATTGCTAATTTATGGGTTGTGCACCAAGCAGAACCATGATTTAATGTGTGTCCTTTGCTGCTTTTGTTCATACGCTCTTTGAAATTTTTCAAGATCACTTTCAGAATTTCATTCCATGTTTCTTCCAAGAATATTATTCTTTCACACATAATTAAGGGCCAGTTAACATGGGGGATTTTAGACATTTTCACTCGTTTTAGTGGTTTTCACTATTAATAAAAAAAAGTAGTTATAACTTTACTGAACATTTTGCTTCAGGTAGTGTGGTTCCACCTTGTTTTTAATTTCCATCCTTTTAACGTGAAGCTGCAGATAGGAAGGCCAAATTCAAATGGTTTTCATGACCTGGAATTTCCATTTCTGAATATGTTCAACGAGGGGTTGCACGTGACGCCATGTTTCTCTGAGGAAATCCCTTTTTACTTGATGAGAGACCTTATGAAATGCTTACCATTTCATTTCTGCGCAGAAATGTACAATACCTGCCAGGCATGGGAGCGTTAAAAGGGGAAAGACCGAAACCTCCCGAAGCAAAACCCTTTCACGCCAGACTAGTTTTGAACATCGGAGAGTTTGATCTCGCTGTCGTTAGGACTCTAGACGCAGACCTTTGGCAGCATCTCTTTTGGTAGTGTCTGCGGGTACTGTAGGGGCGAAGGAGCAACTTCAGTACCCGTTTGAAAGTGGCAGCTGTCTGCTCAGAGGTCCTGTGCGTAACTGGGTTGGCCTCTGTATTCCTTGCTCAGGACACTGGTGCTTCTCTCGTGTTTCCCTGGCCTTGGAAGCCTTGGAAGACAGGGAAGGGACGTCAGAGAGAGCACAGTCATGCACCGCACCCAGGGACAGGGGTTCTTAGGGACGTAAGAGCTTTTCATGCAGACACTGATTGCATATAGCTGCAATACCAAGAAAACTCCTGCACGTTTTCTGACGTTGCTAGCAGCTTTGGGCTAGGACAGAGGAGTGCCAGGGCAGAGCTGGTTGCAGATTGAGGCCCAAACTCAAGTAATACACTCTCATTTGCAAACCTGCAATTCTCTGAAATCCTGCCAGTCATAAATGTTTGTTTTCAGTGGGTGTATGCTTTTATCAATCATTAACATTATGTAACAATCATCATACAGGTGTCAAACAGGAGGATGGACCTCAGCTTCCAGGTAGAGTAAGAATTTTACCACACCAAATGAAAGGATGAGGCTTTTAGCCAGCAAGCTTTGGCGCAAATCAGGGTTGAACTGTGATTAAAATAATTGTCTTTGAATCAGTCCAATTAATGAATTTTTTTTTAGGAATGTTTGTGGCAAACATCTAAGTGTGCACGCGTTGTTGGTGTTGCAGATCTTAATGTTAAGCTTGAATAATCGCTTGTTTTCCAGAAGTAAATTGCAGTATATTAAATGTTGGAATACATGATTTGCTGTTAGCAGTTCATGTTGTGCTGGTTAGTGTGAGTATCCAAATGGAATAAAAAATAAGCATGAGTAACCAAACCAGTTTAAGTTATTACCATCGCAGTAATCAAATTTGCAATTGAAATTTTCATGAATGTAGTTACACAGTGTGTGTTTTTAAATCCTGTACGCTGTTTATTTTGTTCTCCCATTTACCATTTGTAAATAAAACACCATTTCTATTGAATAACAAACTAGTACAGTGTGAAACAGTCGCTGTGGGCCAGGTACTGAGGAAGTGCAAGAGTCTGAGTCACAATTCATTACAGGTCTTCTGTGTTCAATTGTGAACAATTACAACCAACAGAAACAAACCAGAACTTTTTATCTATAAATTGTAGCGACTAGTTTTCTGTACTCTCATAAAAGAACCCCATAATAAAATAATAAAACCTTCTTTGAGTTTTTCACCTTCCTGTTAGGAAAAGATTGCTCGACCAGGTTCTCTGATATGCAGATAGTTGCTGAGGACAAATAGGTTTTTCTTTTCTGATACTTTTTTCATTTCCCCACAAAACAGACAATTACGTAATGTCTATTATTTGGATTTAAAATAACCCATTGTTCTCCTCAAGACTATGTAAGCCAAGATTCTATGTTTCTTCCACATTTCCACATACAATATTGAGAAGTTTAATGTTTCTGCTCAGATAAATGTGCATGTTAACTAGGCTATGGCAGGACATAGATTGAGCCTGTGTTAGATTGGGAGCTGTCAGCAATAATACATCATAATGTGCAACATGACATAAAATACAAAATAAGTAATGTTGTATATACCATGTAGTATGTTGCCTATTTTAAAACTGCCCATTCATTGTGTAAATTAATTAACTCAAGGGAAATGTTTCAACTATGTGCATAACACTTTAATTTAAATTTTAAAATTACGCATGAAAGGACCAAATCAGTGTACCTAGTACTATGTGCAGTCAGTTCTCACCAACCCTGTTCACTTTGTTAAATGTCTTTCATTATGATTATTATTTTTATTTGTATTATTATTGATATTATTATTTATTCCATGTATGAGTTTTTGCCTTACTTTGTAGCACCTTTGTAATGACATTTTGCTTTTGAAAGTTATGTTAATTAATTTAAAACAAATTTATTTTGGAAAAACAAAACCATAGTATTCCATAAATGTTTTTTGTTTTGTCGTGTATTTGTTCATGTTGTTGTTGTTGTTATTCTTATTATTTATTGGGTTTTTTTATCCATTATTGCACAGTAGATTCTTCCCATCCCTCCTCCCACCCTCCTTCAGCTACAGATGGTGCAGCAGGTGCAAATGCCACTGATAATGCAAATGCCAGCTTAGTCAATGGTACGTCAAGAACACCTAGCTTGTTTTATTTGTTGGATTTCTCTCCTGACCATCTAAGATTTCCTCTTCCCTTTATAAGCTGCACAGGTGTTTTATGTGTATGTGATTACCCTCTGAGATACCCTACTCCGTAAACTCTGTAGTAGCTTATAAGAGATGCCACAAAGATGCTGTGATTTACTTTATTCACACAGAATTAAGCATGGGAGAGGAAGAAATAGGAGTTATGATCTATTTGTCATTAATTAAAACTGCAGTTAAAAGGAAGAGTTAAGTGAGGCTAGTATCAAAACTTTTGAGTTACCTTTACACAAAGATTCATTGTAAAGCTCTTCACACATTTGTCAGCGTAGATGTGAAGAAGAACACCATGATAAATGGATTATATCTTCTTTTCTTCTGGTGTGGCACTCTCATAAGTATTCGTATAGCCTTTATGTAGTTCTGAGAAATAGTGCTGGGGTCAGGAATCTGGCTCAGTTTCAACCAACAGTGCATTAGGAATAACTTCTGCTGCTTTCAGCATTTTTTTTGGAAGAAACTGACTAAAAAGTGATGTTTGTGGATGCCCTTAAATAGTGACCATCTAATGAGCCTGCCTGCATTTACTAAAAATAAAAAAAGTGACTGTTGTCAGTATTGACTGTCTCTTGGTACAGATTCTTGACTCCACTTGTTAGATGCAGACATTTCAGTATCTCTAATAGTCTAATTCCGGTATTAAATGGATTGGGTCACTATTAGCCTAGCTATCAGCTGTATTTTTCTGATAATCAGATACATTAGTCTTTATTTGCCATAGAAGCCTGTCCTCCTGTACAGCACCAATAATACTGACAGAAGTAATTTGACTTTTCATCGTGTTGGTGATAGAAGTTGTTTTCCATGCTGGTCAGTGGTGGTTGCATTATGCATGTGAAATGCATCTTGAGTTTCTGACATAGCACTACCTAGTACTAAACAAGTACTAAGATTTACTAGTATAATTTCTTATTTAAAGCAATGACACAGGAAATCTTTGAGCCTATTTTAAAATAATTTCATTATAGTTTAAAAGAAACCTATAACCAGATTTAAAACATTAGTCCTGCACATTCTAAGATTTCTGGAAAACTAGGATTTACAATCCCTACATCTCACTGCAGGATGGGAGCCTGTATCATCCGGGTTCCAACATCCTGATTTTAGATTCCTTAGAGCCCAAGAGTCAGGAAATTAATTATTAATATTTCATTCTCCATTCTTTATGCTCTATAATTCTACTCTGTTGTTTAAAACAAACATACTCATACAACAGAGTCTTACCAGACACCCTCCTTCAATCCCACTGGAGACTGCAGTATTACATTTATCTTCAGTCCTGCAAGCTGCTGGGTACTAACTTAAGCATCAGCCTAAATACTTTGCTGGATGAGAACCACGGCTCAGCCAGATGCAGAAATGAGTCCAAAGTTGTTCTAACCTGGTCTCTCTGTTAGCAGGTTTTAGTTGCCTGATAAATATCTGTTGTGTTTGATCTTAATGCCTGAGCTCAGTACGGAAATTGAGTTCCAGGGGATATTAAATCAGTGTCTTAAGTATGTATATGATTTTCCGTCATCTTCTCTTCCATCAGAAACGAGTTACTGTCCCTGTTTATCTTGGAGTTAAAAGATACGTACTCAATTCAGTGCACAAAGCGTAGAAGTAATTTTTTTTGTGCTGCTGAATATAGTTTTGCTTTTAACTCTTCTGAGGTGAGGCAGTTGAAGTAAATCTACAGATCTTTGATCATCATGGACAGGAGATACTTTCCACAATTCACCTTATCTGACACTGTGTTCAGAGAACTGAGACTTGCCAGGTAGAGTGAGATCAAAGTGGTTTGGAATCGTCTGGTAAATTGCCAATATCTAATTTCTTGTTTATACTATACGTTTTTTGAGTCAGTAGTGCTGATGAGCTAGAAAATGCTTCAACTGTATATTTTGGAGGAGATTTGGAGGGCAGAAAGGAAGGGGAAAAAAAAAAAAAAAGTCCTAAAGCTGGGAGACCAAGTTCACATAGATATTTTTTGGTCTGGGTGAGATAAATTGTTTCAGTAATATCTGAGAATTCTCCCTGAGATGTGGCTGGAAACAAGCATTTTAACCTAAAGTCCAATATGTGCAAAATACCCTCAAATAAGAAAAATGTGTTATATACTTGAGTAAGTACTTAGCTCAGGAAATGCTATTGCTTGTTACTTTAAAATCAACACATTACCATTTCAAATAAAATGTTGCTTTTGTCTTAGTTGTCAACAGGCAGTTGATACAAAAGAAGTGTTTTGTTTTCAGTCAGTGGGTTTATAGTGATAAATTCTTACAGGTTTGTGACACAGCCTGTTTGTTACTTGCTGTATTGAAGGAAGTATTATAAATTTTATTGGGTTCTAGTAGTTGAGATTAAAATATGTAGTTCTTTGGTGATCTCTTTGTTAAAACTATGGACAATATGTTCAGATTTTCAAACGTTACAAGTTAAGGTTATGAGCAGATCCGAAAACTTTACAGAAAGCTAGTAATTCATGAAAATCTGTCTAATTTTGATGTATTGTCTGTCTTCAAAAAATATACTTTTTGAAAACATGGGAAGCAGCAATTGCTGTTTACAGGTTGTTTACCCCAGATTTAATTTGAAAGGAGTGCTTTATTTTTTTGCCTGGTTGGGTTTTTTGGCATTTGATAATTTGATACTTGAAGAATTTGTTATATAAAATGCTCTTCTGAGATGGAAGCAGCATACCAGACTGAGAAATGTCTCAGCTGAAATACCTGACATCTATGTTAATTCTGTCAGTTCTGGTGTACCTACGGTACTGGTCAATTCCTGCAAAGCAATTTGCAGTTTGAGTAGTTCTTGAAGTAATTCCTAAATTTTCAGTGAGGTTATTTAGTGAGTGCATGGAAGAATTTTCTCAAATTTCCTATTTGATACATTGGGATCAGATTTATTCTTTTGTAGTTAACCACTGTTCTACTAATGCATTGGCTCTGATATCACGCTGCATGAAAGAATTCCTAGTGATTCACTTCAGATATGTTGCATGTCACTTTTCCCCCTGTATATAGATTTGCAGTGTGTGTCTCTTCTTACTAATGTAACTGCCTTGGCATGAGAAGGGACACAGCTCATTCCTACTGCAAGGCGAGACATTTGAAATTGAGTAGGATACTTTATATTTTTTGTTCCATCGTAGCATGTGAGAACACAACTCAATTAGCTTCTTCAGCTGATTACAAGCAGTTCCTCCAATGAACAAAGGATTTCTAATGCCAGCAATAGGTCTTTGTTTTTCTGTCTTAGTAAAGGGCTGGAGGAGGTAAAGGGGAGTCTTTCCTTGGAAAGTTTGTTTGGAGAGGTAACTGTCTTTTGGACAAAGAACTTTGGCAGTAATAGTTCCAAAAGAAGGAGGAGATTTTACCAAGGGAAGGACAATGTGCAAAACATTTTATATTCAAATTCAAAACCTTCAAATCAACTGCAGAATACAAGTCATTGGGAGGTTCCATACTCTTTTCTAAACCTGACTTTTCATCCTTGATTAGAAAAGTGATAAAAATAAACTGAGATGAATTCCTCCAGATTTCAGGGCCCAAACACTGTTCCTTTTACTTATTTCCAAAAGGAAAAGAAAAAAAATCTGCAAAATAGTATAAAAATGTTATATTTTTGAAGAATTATATATAAAATATTATCAGAATAATAACAATTAACAATCCTTTTAATATTTCTAAACAGTGCACAAAGGACAAAGGTGGGATAGTATTTTCCTACTACTGACTGAAAGGAGAAAGGATCTCAGAAGTAGTGATTCTATTATCTTAATTTTTCTTAATTTGTTTCTTCATTCACAATTTATAGTCAAGTGCAGGCTTAAAATTATTTGGAAGAGGAGGAAATAAATCCTTTACAGCATTCTTTTCTTTATCATAATTACCTAAATTACCTATTATTTGTTATTTTACCTGAACTATTGGGAGTATAATTAGCTGTGAGGACTTCCCCCCCCCACCCCACCATGACTTAAGTGCAGTAGCTGCTGAGATTAAGAAAGTATTTCTTAAATATCTATGTTTACGTTGTTGTTAATGATAGTCCATTTTATGTACTAGTATTTTTAGGTAGCCGGGGTAAATGAATTGTTAGTGTAAAAAGGAACTGTAGGCTGGACATAGAGCATACTGTCTGCTCTAAATTAATGATTTCCAGTTCTGAAGGAAGGCTTTATGCTCTAGCCCGAAATTAGAACCTCTAGGGATGTTTGATGTCTTCCACTGAATTTAGTTAAAAGTATTCTAAGAAAAATAGCCATTAGGCAGATACCAACTTCAATTATGCACCGTATGCAAAAATTTTTTTAAGGAAATTTCACAATGAGAATTAACTCGGTTGTGTTCAGGTTCATAGATTTGTGTCTCATGGCAAAATGTAAGTCGTTGAAAGATAGATACAGCCTTTTGAAAAGTCCTATTACAGCTGAGATGGGAATAGAGCTGGAAATTCAGGCAAGCAGCTGATAATTCGGCATGCTTTAGTAAGCTGTCTGAATGCTGAGCTTGTGCTACGTCGTGAGACATCCTGTCCTCTATTGCAATCCTGTGCTTTTGAATTCCTGGGCACCTGTAGCCTGTTAGTATGGGATGAAATGTTACGGTGATCAGTTTATCACTGGTTTGGCCATTTTTACTCTTTTTGGGAGGGAGGTTTTTATTGATCTCCCAATTACTGAAAATATAAAACATGCCAGAAATGCATCTTAAACTTTCAATTCTGCAACTATTTATTCACAGTATAGAGTGCAAAAATTAATACATACGTTGAAGCATAATTTCTGCTGCTTTGTTGTGCATGCAGTACCAGCTAATTACTGCAGGTAGTCAGAAGAGCACAACTTAATTGCTCTCATATTTTTTTTGTAAACCCTAATGATACATTTCTTACTAGAATGTGTCAAAAATCCTGTAACAGTGTTTCAACTATTATTTTTCCTTAGCGTCATATTTTTATTGTGCATTATACCTGACTACAAAAAGAGAAGGTCCTTACCAAAGTGAGGACTTTGGTATGGTGAGACTAAATTAAAATATTTAAAATGACAGATGCACTTGGCAAATCTTTAGGATAAATATGAATATCGGATGATCACCTGGCACTTGTATTTACAGGAGTAACTTGCTAAGTAATACAACCAAGTGAAGATGTAATTTGAACATCATGTCTGATTTACGTTTTTATTTCTTTATCCTTATTAACACTACTATTTATATTTGGTTTTGATTTACTGAAGTGACTGGTTTAATTCTGGAATACATAAAGTAAGTCATACTCTAAACTGGTGTGTACCAAAATTATACCTGTCCCAGCTCTCTGAAATTTCACTTCAGAAATATTATTCAAAGTCTACTTTTCACTGGATTCTTTTATTATTTTCACCCTCTTAATTGACGCAACTTCCTCAAAATTATGTGCTGATATTTAGTATTTTACATGTTACAACATTGAACTTGACTGCAGTTCCTTGAATATTTCCAGCTAGGTTGTCCATGCTTCTAAGTTAAACGTTGTTGTTACAATGGCTACTGATCATAAATAAGTATCTGTAACATGCTCATTACTTTTGTCTGCCCTTTTTATTTAAATTTCCATTTTCATCTTCCGTCTTGGGTGAAGGTTGTTTACTGTCTGTTGTCTGTTGAAATTTTTCATCATATAGGCAAAATGCAGGATGGGAATATGGAGAACAGCCAGAACAAAGGTAATCTTCTTTCGTATTAAGGAGGTTGTGGATTTTAATTTTAGCATGTAGTTACATTCTGTTAAAAAGTAAAGTGAAAATTCGTGATTTGTGCCTGTGTGTAAAAATGGCCCTATTGTTCAAACAGAATGTTTAAAAACCCCTAACAACCAAATCCAACAACAGCAACAACAAAAAAACTACCAGCAGCTTACAAATATTTGACATACCAGGTATTTAGGAGACAAGATCAGTATTTCTAGTAAGCCATTTATAAATGATCCTTTCATGTCACAAAGTTCATTTAAATTCATTTTTCCTGTGCCAGTTATGTATGGTTTGTATTATTAGTGATTTTTTGATATGTCTTGTCATCTTTGGTGTTTAATGGCATTGTACAGACATATTTTCTTTTTTATGGAGAAGGTAAAGCAATAACAAAAGGAAACTTTAAAACCAAGAGGCTGTTTAGCAATGTAAAAGCACATAATAAGGGTAAATAACAGGAAGATTGAGAATCTTAGGAATTTCTTACTTAATGTACAATCTTAGGAAGAAATTGGAATAAATATTTTGCTTTCTCTGAAGCAAAGTCATGGTTCTCTTTTTTTATGAGACACAGCTCTCATGATTTCTTTGGGTTATGCCAAATAAGTAAATTAAACTATGACTTTCTCTTCTCAGATAATATCAAAGATTGCAAAGGTGATGGATCAGAAACTGAATATATAAACTCAGTGGTTAATGGTACAAAACTATTAAATGAAATTATATTAAATGTATAAGTTTTAAGGTTAGATATATGAATTAGATTTCCAGGTCAAATAAGCATGGTTTTGTACAATCTGTACACGAATGTCAAAGCAAAGCTGTTTCATCCCATTCTATTTAATTTACTTATTTCTGTGTTCAATACACAACAAGACACATACACATATATACACTGGAATGTCATTGCTTTTGAAGAACATGTCTTTCTCATTGGGACTACAATAAAGTTTCCTTGTATTAGCTTTAGCATTCTTCCAGGAAAGGATGGTTTAGCCTTTAAATTCCGTGTGTTTTTTATGGGAGAATGAGGATGGTATCACCATCAGACCTGAACACTGAATGCTAAGGAAACTTTTAAAGTCAGGTATTATCTAGAATAGTGGTTTGCAAAGGGTGGTCCACTGGTCACTGAGGTGCCCGTGCAGTCAAGAGAAGCGGCGCACTGATGGTCTTGTGGAACCACATTGCCATTAAAATGTTTTCTTTAAAAGTATGATTATAAGGGTACATTGTAATCCATGGGACATATCACAGTTTAGAGAAATACGGACTATTTGCTGAAGCACTTGAGAGCTGCTATTCTAGGAAATCCTGCAGTACTGTTACTTGCCAAATAATTTGCAAGACATTAAGTGATATGTATGTGTATGACACAGAATGTCGTTGGTGGTTTAAAAAAAATTTAATTAGTGGTTTTCATGATACTTGACAAACAGCACAGTATGTATCCCCGCATGTATGGAGCCCACATGTGTATGCTTATACATTTGTGCCCCTGCAGAACCCACTGGGTCTCACAGGGGCACCTGTTTGCCATGGGAGTGAGGTGTAATTCTCTCCATAGCTACAACCATCTCTATTGCCATCAGCCCCTGCAACGGGTGCTGCTGGTTGAATTCAGTGAAGTATCAACACTATGATAAAAAGAGTGAAGAACCGTTCTGGAGTAACGTTTTTGTTCTGCATTATTAGCCAAGCAGCAGGATGGGGCTGCTGCCATGGAGATGCAGCCACTGAAGAGCGCAGAAGGGGGAGAGGGAGATGACAAAGACAAGAAGAAATCCAACATGCACAAGAAAGAAAAATCTGTTCTTCAGGGAAAGCTGACCAAGCTGGCAGTCCAGATAGGCAAAGCAGGTATGACTGGATAACTGAACAAAAGCAGTGTGGTATGCTAGCGACAAGGGGTTTTAAAGCAAATTGTTCTTAAGAGGGATAGGCTGTTTTTACTGCAATATTTAGAAATAACTTGTCATAATCCTGTTCTAAGGATAGTATGTGGTATTGAAGAACTTTTATTCTTCTAAAACTTAGCTTTGACTGTCAAGAACCTGGATGCTTTGGGCAACTTCGATTGTAATGAATATTTGAATCAAAATTAAATGCAGCTTTTCTCATAATCAGTATTCCCAAGTGCAGTAATTGCATATTTAATTTCCTTTCCCCTTAGAACTTCTGAGTACACAGATTCAGAATCTCTAATATCATCTCAAAATATCACTCACACAGTATTTCACTTTTACTGATTCTGAAATGATTCTGTTCTTTCTTAATATCCATGTTCCCGCTTTCTACCCGAATATGACACATCTGTTGACTCTTGTATCCAGTAGCATCTGAGCCCTACTGTTACAAGTAGCACTTCTGGAATATTTAGGTAGAGAGCGAAAATCTTCTGTAATGACATGATATTCATAGAGTGGAACGGGTTGGAAGGGACCTCTAGAGATCATCTAGTCCAACCCCCTGCCAGAGCAGGATCACCCAGAGCAGATCACACAGGGACAAGTCCAGGCGGCTTTGGAAAGTCTCCAGGGAAGGAGACTCCACCCCCTCTCTGGGCAGCCTGTTCCAGTGTTCTGTCACCCTCACAGAGAAGAAGGGTTTCCTCGTGTCAGGTTGAAAATGTTGAACATGAACCTCATGTTCATTAGGTTAATTTTTCTAGGGGCATTAAAGAGATTGTGATCTCTATCTAGATCCTTGGCTGAGGCCCTAAAACAGATTCCTAACTTTACCTCTGTTCAATCTCCTTTATCCTTCATCAGTCTGAGTTTTATCCCTGCTATTCATTCTCATTCCTTTTTAAGTTTGTTACACTTAGTTGATCACATAACCCCGTGATGCCACTTCTCTTTGCCTGGACAGTGCATGATTGGAATTCATGGTTATCATCTCTTTAATAGCCAATTTCATGCTTTGCCCAGTTTCATATTCCTCAAGCTTCTCTGGTTTTTTGCTAGTTGTACAACAGTATGCATCGATATAAAAGCACTTTGTTTCTCATGATCATTACTTTCTTAGATTAGGCACCTTTTTACACTGCCTTCTGATTATTACCCTCTCTGGTGTTTCAGCAGGCATGTGAATATCACTTTTAAAGTAATTGTATAGGGACTTCTAACCATAATGTGGCAAGTAATATGTATTAAATTAATTAATCATTGCCCCATTTGTTTTTTCGTTTTCATTGGGCAGTCTATGGGGACATTTTGCGTTGTCATGAGCATTTGCATGTCCAATATTTTAATGGATTTTCCTTTATCCTCTGGCATTTAGCAACGTCCCTGGCTCATCTGTTTCCTGTCAACCTTGGCATCCTTCATCTTACCAATTTTTATTTTTTTTTAACTTCAGTTGAGACATGAAACTCACAGTATTCTCCTTTTACTGTATGATTTCATTAGAGAGAAATTAATTCATTCTGAAATGCAGGCTTAACTGCTTCATAGAAACCTGCCAAAGAGCAGTAATCATAGCAAGGCAAAATAGATGTTCTAATGGAGTTTTTATTTGTATACTCAAATCCAGGAACAAAGTTTTAGAGAAGGAGTGCTATCTTAGCAAAGTCTGTGGCATTGGGGGAGCATATTAATTACCTTGGGATCCTTTGTGAATTCTGTGAAATATTTATTAGTGTCTCTGGTGCTACACTGTCAGCGTTGTACCTCTTCTGAGCCTCTTCTCATAAACACATGCACAGTTTGCATATGGCCCATTGAAAAGACAAACTCGGAAGCACTAGTATGTATCACATTTTCAAGAAAAAAAGTTCAAAACTGTTCTGTGGACGATTCTGCAGTATTGCCTCATTGGATTCAGCCAGACACATCAGCAGACCTTTTCTGAAATGTTTTATACAGCAACATAAACTACAGGAGACTGCTTTTCTCCAGGCTCTAAAGATAAGCTCATTTAAAAAGAAGACGAATGTTTGAATATGGATAGACTAGCAATTTGTAAAGGGTGGAGGTTAAAAGGACAGATAAATGTTGTACAAGGCAGAGTAATGTACTACATTGAAAAATCTTAGCTTGAGCAACAGCAGAACTCCTGTTGAACTAGGCTGACTGAGAAGTTTTTAATGGCAGCAGTAAGATGGTGCTTAAAAATTAATGCAGTATGATTCAGCTGTTCTGTAGAATTCAGTATTTCCTTATTCACTGGAATGCATGGGTGTTGTAAATGTGTTATAGGAATGGGGTTTTGTACATTGTAAAATTTATCATTATTGGTACTGGTGAAAAATGTCATGTAGAATAAGTAAATAATTTCATATCAAATTCAAATATAGATTTCTAATCGTACATGCTTTTATTTGTTTTATGGTAATTGGTTGTATCTATTTTCAGGTTTGGTGATGTCTGCCATCACTGTAATAATTTTGGTACTATATTTTGCCATTGACACGTTTGTGGTCAACAAGAAACAGTGGTTGCCTGAGTGCACTCCTGTGTATGTTCAGTATTTTGTTAAATTCTTCATTATTGGTGTTACTGTACTTGTGGTTGCTGTTCCTGAGGGACTTCCACTTGCTGTCACTATCTCTCTGGCTTATTCTGTAAAGGTAAGAAACATTAAAAATAATTATGGGAGAAAAATACTGTTCAGCTGAGTTTACTAGAGGGTTAGTCTTCAGGTTTTATCAGATGTGAGGAAAACTGGCCTGTAGGTTAATGTGATCAAAATATTAATGAGAGTGAAATGTCTTAGAAGTGAAACTTCACTTTATATTGGAAGTATTTCTGACAAAAATGCAAATACATATATATTCTAATACGTATCTTTAAAACTACAGAATGCAGAAATATCAAACCGTAGAAATACATATATGTTTGTGAGATTACCAGGAATTTATTGAGCAGAATTGACTGTGAGAATAATCCAGTCTTTTGGTACAGAATAACTTTGTCTACAAATGTTTTGGCACAGTAGTAAAGTTTTCACAAAGATTTGAAGCCTTCGGGAACACTTTTCAAAGAAATTAGAGTTTCACTGGACCTTCATGCACTTTTCTTAAATGCAGTTGCACTTCTTCATAGCAAATGTAAATGATCCTGTTAAGAAATTAAAGGGAATTAAAATCCTGGATTTGTGGGTCACTCCATTATCTATCTGAGAATTTTCCAAATTGTTTTAGCAGTTTAGTCAAATGGGCCTTGTTTAACCATTCTGGGCATCTCAGATGATTTTGTAAAGTTTATTGCCATTATGTATGCGAACAACTGACCATCTGAACATTAGGAAGGAATAGCTTGATTTCTGTGTAGCCAAACATCATTATTAATAGGAAAAAAGAGCACACCTCAAGCATGGGATTTTGCTAATAAAGACTGTAGCTGCTTTTAAAATATTTTCCCGTTGTCCTTATGTCCTTCATCCGACACATGCGTGTCTGTATTTGCAGTATCAAACTGCAGTACAGCTTTGTGTACAGCAGGTGATACCGTGACCTGTGAGTATAAGATACTGTGGGACAGCAAGCGTCAGAATTTTTTAATATTGAAAACATATAAACAAGGATAACGTGTATTTCCAGGATGACTGTGCATCTTGTGAAGAATATGCTCTGTGGAATGGACTACTCTGCAGTAGTGGGGGTTTTTGTGGGTGCGAGGGATTTTTTTGTTGGGCGGAGGTTTTGTTGTTGTTGGTTTGATTTGTTTTTTTTGGTTTCTTTCTTTTTTTCATTCCCAGTATGTATAGTCCCGCTGTGTGCTGCAAGGTAACATGCTGGCATTGGAAATAGTATTAAAAAAAAGTCTAATATTTGCTTATAATTATACATGATTTGAAAACTCATGTGATCTTCAGTTTCTTAAGCTAATTTTTACTGTTCTAGCTATTCCTTAAAATGTATATATACTGCAAAAAATGATGGAAATGTGTCATTTTAGCAAGGTGAAATTATTTCAGGGATAGTCACTGCGTGGTTGTCTGGACCTAGGGCTTGAGTTATTGTCCCCGATCAAAGTTTTAGCTTAGCGAGAGTTATGTTCTCATGAACAAAACTAAATACATGCTGGTTTGCTTTTTACAACTGATGTTAAAAATCTGTCAGAGCGCATCTTGAAGGTTCTTTATTATGCTTTTTCTCAGAAAATGATGAAGGATAACAATCTGGTCCGCCACTTAGATGCTTGTGAAACCATGGGTAATGCTACAGCCATCTGCTCTGACAAAACAGGGACGCTAACAACCAACCGGATGACCGTTGTCCAGGCCTACGTTGGTGATGTCCACTACAAAGAAATCCCTGACCCAGATTCCGTACCCGCCAAAACCCTTGATTTGCTGGTTAATGCAATTGCTGTCAACAGTGCTTATACTACAAAAATTCTGGTAAGTAGGCTTCTTCTGTCAATAAAATGAAACATAGCAGAAGGAGTTGTAATTTTTTAAGCAATGTCAATTCCTTAACATTCTGTTATTGAATACGAGCTGTTACATACTGTTGAGGTCCTCAAAGTGGGAACAGGTGCTGGAAAAACAATATATTTTATGTTTTAATTTGAAGGATAGAGATATACATGTAAGTACAAGACCATGCTACATTTAAAAAACTCCTGCAGTTGTTAGAATGGGTTGGCCCAGTTTTGGTGTAGGTAAATTTGCTAACACAACTACTTTTTATTGGAGACTTTGTATGTGGAAAATTATTTTTTTGTGTCTTTCAATTAATTCTCAAATAGGACAAATTGAATTGGTTAAAACAGTGAGGTTAATGATCTTTGTTCATTCTGTTTTCAAGTGAATTACATTCACAAGTCTTTTAATTCAGTCTGTAAAAGAAGGCAAAATGGAAATACCCATTTGCTTGTGGCAGTAGATTCTTCTGTACAGAGCTAATTATGAGGCCAAAAACTTTTGCAATTCCAATAGATTTGTTCTTTGAAGCTTTTGAAGCTTTCTTTCTTTGAAGCTTTCTTAAGCTTAGTCTTAATATTGCAGAATAAATACTTTTTTTTTAGTTTATGAATTTATGTATTGTCCTTTTTATATCTCTCTGTTGAGCCGCGTAGTATAGCCTTGCATGCACTTCAGTTTCTTTAAAGAAGTCTTTTAAAATACAATCACAGAAAGCAGTTGGTGAAACACTACTGAGTGCTGTAGCATTTCTTTCCTTTGATTTGTGCTTTGTAAATATCTGGATTTTAGTAGCAATCAACACTTCAAGAAAAATATTCAGAGAAACCTGATGCAGATAGGAAAAGCGTGTTTGTAGCGAAGGTGGTTTTGAAATGAACGCTCCTGAGGACTGTTTAGCCAGGGTTAGTGTCTGAAGTCAAGCCACAGCTTAGGCACCCTTAAGACCGCCGTCTGCGCTGCGATGCACTCACTCTTCCATTCTTACCACGAGCTCTCCTGAAAGGGGGATGTGTGGGGAGAACCCCAGCCCCTGAGGCAGCTTGGGCTGCTTCCTGCATCTAGAGTGGATAGGAAATCGTGCAAACCCTCCATCTGCTCAGAAAGATACTGTTAGTTGCCGCCTTCCAGCTGAAGCGAGCCAGCAACGTGGGTGCCGCTCTTGTGTTGTGCAGCAGAGACCAAGGGCTGTGGTCAGCCGAGGCTGGAGCTAGCCCTGCTGGCTTTGAATTCAGATACCTTGGCAGAGCAGCGCTCGCTCAGCTACACACCAGTTCCAGCTGTGAGCATCCAGCTAGCAGCACCAGTTCCCAGCTGAATCCTGGATCTTACTCTGTCCTTTTCCTATGGTCTGTCCAGGTCAAAATCAACCAGGTTAGCTGAAATGAAAGATGGACCTTCCATTCTCAGGTGGTTCATTGTAAATGTGGATATTTGATCAGTGGCTTTTTGGATTCGAATTTGCGTATTTGTAAATTAGCAATAATATTTTACTATTGCTGGGTTAAGTCATGCTTTCACATATCAGTATAACATTTCATTGTTGGGGAGAGGAACATACATCTTCAGTATTTTAATGTTGTTACAGCCTAAGTAAGGTTAGGTACTTCCTTCTGTAGAAAGAGAAATAGAACCAAACTCATCCTCAACACAGAGGTTGGGATTAAAACAAGGTAATAGGGACGAACTGGGATAAAGAATGATAGCTATATAAATATGTGTTCGTATAACTGCTACAGTGGTAATGCTAGTCACAGCATCAGTTCCAGCTGTCACCATGAGTTTGATTTTGGGAGGGCTTTGAGAGAATGTTACCAATGTTGGCAGAATTTTCTTCATTCCTAAGGAACAACAAGGTGGTAGGCAGGCAGACTGGTTGGGAGTTAGGCCAGTGTGACTGGCAGAGAGGGACTCCATGTCAGCTGTGCCTCCTTTGTTTTATATTGCTGTTCATTTTGGGTGCTTGAGATCAAACACAGCAACAAAGTGTTTCTGTCCAACTTCCATGCTAGTTCACTCTCTCTGACTTTCATAGGAGGTTGAGGTTTCTGAGGCATGGGAAGGCATCAGACTTTCAAGAGTGACGCATCTGTAACGTTAAACGTAACGTTCTGCCTTTCTCTTGTGGTGATAGTTTAATTTGACTGAAAAATGTCTGGTCAGTAGTAGTTCTAAAATTTCACTTTGGTCTCAATATAATTTCCACTCTTCACCCATTTCCCCCCTGTACCTGGCTTGACTTCATTGATTCTTGTTGAAATTAGTAATGGGTGCCTATTGAAGAGTCAGTATTTCACCATTGTGGTTCTTTTCCAGCTTTGCACAGAGACCGGTTCTCTGTAAAATTGATAAATGGGTGAAATCCTATGGAAATCACCTTTGTGCTGGATGCATATCACGTGACTACTTGAACTTATCTCTGTAAAATTAGTGGTGATTTTCTAGCTGTTATAACAGCATCATAAGATCAGGCTTGCAGTATGGACCCCAGAAAGATGACTATTCCAATATCATAGGAGTTAATTTTATTCACTGTTTATAATAAGCTTAAGCAGAATTTTAATATACAAGATATTGTTCCATAGCCAGTATACAGAATTATTTTTCTAGCTGCTAATACTGAATGCATACTTCTGCACTCATTCTTAGAGAATATTTAATCAAATTGTGAACATCAGCTCAAACCCAAAGGGCATATAAGTGTTATGTCGCTAAGATTGAAATTTTCTGTATTCTATTTTTAGTTCTCTAGTTATGCATGTGCTGTAAATTGTGCTTTGTATGAACTTGTGTTCAGAGTGATCACATATGAGACCATAAAATTAGGCAAGATGCTCTGCTGAATGAGAAATATTCCCTCTTGCATTGTCTTTTGATTAAGGGGCAATTGAACCATTGATAAAAATATAAAAAGAAAAGAATATCGCTGCTAGGAATAAAAGACTTGAATTTCACTGAGAAATTAAACACAAATTATTCCAACTGAACAATAGCATCATTAAATATAGTTCTTTTTAATGCTTTCCAAGGATTAAGTTACTGGTGAGCTGATTTTACATTCCATTCGCTTCAGAGCAACTTCAGTGCTGCTTTTATGCTGTTTATGTGAAGCTGTTCTCCAGAAAACCTTTCTTTCCCAGTATTCATGTTTTAGATATCTTTCCCACATGGAAATAAAAATTAGACTTCATACATCCTTGCATGTGAGCTGTGATGAGGACTGTGAAGAACCTCTTACTCTGAAAACAAAATCTGCATTTTGGGGATGCTTTGATTGCACCGGGAAGTACACTGATCTTGATTATGATGGAGCAATAATGAAATAGGGACTCCAAATACTAAAACTATTGATTTGAACTCTTCTACTGAGCTCTTGCTTGGATAAATTCAATTTTAATTAGAAAATAGTTTTTCTAATTTCCTAAAGACTGTCAGAGGGCATAGATGACATGCTTGCTGGATGGGTATAATGTGTTCTTTTTTAGAAGAGATCACAATTAGTTGAGTGATTTTCAGCACCAGTGGAAAAGACCCAGATGAACCTGTTATTGTTCGGATCTAGCACAGGCATTTCATTTGGTACTTGATAGGTGCCTCGAGAGCAAAAAAGCTGCTTAGGCCTGTATGAGGTGAATGTCTGGATCTGCATCAGGAGGACTGTTTTCAGTTCTGACAATCTGGAGAATCGTTTACTGCCTTCGCACTGTAAGTCGCACCATGTAGCAGCATCCTTTAACCAAGCGTCGTGAAGGGAAAAAGAGACATCACAGAAGCAGAACACTCGCTCCCTTCCACAGCTTCTGCCAACTTAGGAAATGAAGTAAACCTGTTAGGATGTTAGTAAAAGTTAGTAAAGTAATGAATGTGACCTTGTAAAAGTTTTGGAACAAGAAAGGCCTCTGTGAGGTAAAACCAAATGGGGAATGAGGTAAAAAAAGAATGTAGACAGTTTTACTGTGGTCAGAACAGAGAAAGCAATGTTTCCTGTTTATCGTATGGCAGAACATGTGACACTACAACATCTGTCTGAGACAGTAGCGAAGTTACCAAGGTTGCTGCCAGCACACAAATTCCAAGCACGTTCCTACCACAGCCCTAGCTGAGGGTCTTCGCCGTGTACTCACACAGATCTCTCCGCACAAGGTGGGGGGATGGCTTTGAGGGCCCCAGGTAACCCCAGCGGGGAGGACCAGGGATTCCCCCAAAGCTTCCCTGAGAGGAGTTCTTTCTGGGGAAGGGCAGTGGTCACCCTCCGTGGGAGAATGCTGCTGCGGATGCAGGTGGGCTGCAGGGTACATGGCGCGTAGCAGCAGGATGGAGCTGCACCGTAGGCACAGCCGGTAAGACTCACTGGGAGAGCAAGGAGGGTGTTCGTTCACCTGCTTACTTCATGCAATTACTTTTTCCTGGATATATAATGAACAATCTTACTAAAATAAGTGGAACAAAACTTCTAACTTCTTTATACTGAAAGCAGTTTACGAGATTTTAGCTCAGAATGTTTTGTTGAGAATAAATAGATCTTTTGACAGAATACTGGGATGAATGCACTTCATACTTTCTTGGAGAAAAAGGATGGAGGGAGGCTGGCAAAGCAGGTAGGTAACCCATAATACATGAAAACCATAAAAAGAAATCACATTCTGCAGAAGGGAAATGGTAAAAGTAATGGAAAATAAGATTTTCACACAACAGCTGCTTTGCAGGAATAGATGAAAATCTACCGTGGGTATTGAGAACATGGATGTAGTACCCAGGTGAAGGGGTCTTTTGTGAGGAGTATATTTGCATCCAAAATTAGTACAGCTATCTGGGTTGGGAGACATAATGTTCCTGTCAGAAACAGTCTTTAAAATGTTATGCTAAGCATGAAATACAGTTCTCACAGATTTCTTTATTTTTTAATAAAATTTAAAGACTGGATTTCATTTATCAAATACTTGAATTAATCTATTTTTTTATTAATGGAGTGGAAA